ATTCCGGGGTGTCCCTGTCCCGCTGACCGCTCCCCCGTTCCGGGGTGTCCCTGTCCCCTCTCCCCATTCCGGGGTGTCCCTGGCCGCTCCCCAGGCCCCGGCCATGGCCTGCCTGCACGAGACCCGCACCCCGTCGCCGTCGCTGGCGCTGCCGTCGGACGGGACCCCCGAGCAGGAGCTGACCCCCACGCAGTGCGTGCTGCGGGACGTGCTGCCCGCGCCCAGCGCGCCCGCCGAGCCCTGGCCCCGCCGGGGCGGCCCCCGCGGCCCCGAGCTCGGCCCCGAGCCCGCGGGGCCGCTGGCGGCCGATGCCGCCCACCTGCGCTGCCAGGCCGGGGGCGGCTTCCTGGAGGGGCTCTTCGGCTGCCTGAAGCCCGTGTGGACCATGATCGGCAAAGCCTACGCGGCCGAGCACAAGCACCCCCCCGAGGGTCAGGGACGGGGGCGCGGGGCACGGGGGAATGGGGGCACGGGGGAATGGGGGGGGGGGGGGGGGTGGGGGGAATGAATGTAAGAATGCTCATTTGAAACATGGTTAACTTTTTTTTTTTTTGTTGCTTATGACTGGACTTAGATGGTAAACCAGATATCCTGAGATGTTAATATTTCTTAAATGTTATAAATAAAATGAAGCATATATTTGAGTGTGAGTCTCTTCCTTTCAATCTGTGTGGCTGTTATGTTTGTGTGAATTGAAATAAAGCTGTGTGTTTCAGTATGCATTTGATGTTTTATTCACTCTGCTAGTTACAATGTGTATTTTTAACTTGCTGGGAGCAAGACAGAAGCACTAAAGCTCAGCAGCGTCGCAGTCCTAGCATATTAGTTTTGTAGTGGGAATACTTGGGAGTCAGAAATCTTCCTTAGTGTGTAAGTAGAAATAATCAGTGGTGCAGATGTTAGCTGCAAAAACTTCTTTCCATGTTGACACCCAGGCTTTATGCAGTTTTAAATATGTGAGTAATATGATTCTTCTATTAAGGTTGGAGCTGTAGTTGTGAGCTTGCCCTGTTCTAGATATCAGACTTTAAAATGCTGTTTAATTAGAGACAGCCAGAGAAACAAAAATACCATGGATCAGAGTGGTGTCAGTCCATACAGTGGTGTGTGTGGCTGCTGGTGGTGGTGTGGGGTGTACTCCTGTACTAGTTATTGCAGCCTCTTCCTGGAGCAGGGATGTAGCCTGGTCCCCTGGACCAAATATGATGCTTTATGTCCCAAAATACTATGAACTTCTAAATCACAACAACTGAAGTTCAGAGGAGACTGTAAATACGTAGAAAGCTGTTCAGAAAAGAGAACAAATTACTCTGTCTACAGAAGGTGGAACAAAAATGAGACCTGTAAGTTGTAGAAATAGGCTTTATGACAGTTCTTTAATGACAAGGATAATTAAACCCTAAATGGTTCATTAAACTCCCTTGGTCCATGTAATTACCACTGCACACCTGTAAATCTGCTGGGAAGGGTCCATTCTGCCTGGAAGCAGGAAATACAGCGTCCTTTTTTTCCCCCTCAATCAAAGGAACCCGGCTGGTTTTGACTTAAGGGAATTGAGGAGCCGGATCACGTCACTGCAGGAAAGGAGAGAGGGTTAAAGATGCCCACAACGTGACGAGTCCCATCATCCAGAGCACAAAGTGGTTCGATGCTTGCTCAGAGCATCACTGGGGCGTTCCGAGATGAGCCGGTACTCGTTACACCTCTCCGCGAAGGCTGCAGCCCGGGGCTGCCTACGGGCGCGGAAGCCGCGGGCAGCAGCAGCGCAGCCCGCGCAGCGGAGCCGGGCCCGCCGCCCCGCCCGCCATTCTCCTCCGCGGGCAGGGCGAGCCCGGCGCCCATGGCAACGCCGCGGCGGGAGCAGCAGCGGCCGCAGGTGGAGGGAGCTGCTCCGGGCGACAGCGCTCTGCCGGCGCGGTGCTGCGAGGGGCGGCCGCGCCCCGCTCCGGCCGGTGAGACCGCCCCGCCCGCCCCTCCTCCGCCCGCGCCGTGCCCCGGCCCTCGCTGCGGCGCCGGGCGGGGCCGGCGCTCCCGAGCCCCGCTCTGTAGCACGGCGCTCCGCCGGGATCCACGCACGGCACTGAGGACGCTCCGTGTCCACCAAAAGAGCGGGAGGGCGGTGTTTGGCGCCGGCCGGCCGGGCCCTCCCCCTGCCCCGGGCCTTGGCAGCTCCGCCTCCGCCTCCGCCCGCCGGGCCGGGCCGGGCCGGGCCGGGCCCGCCGCTCCCGCGGCCCTGGGGCGGCTGCCAGCGCCGAGCTCCGGGGCTGGGCGTGTGTTACGGAAACACCGCAACACTCGGCTGTGCCTTTCCCTGTTCCGAGCATAGCCTTCTTCACCTAACCTCTTTAACTGGATTTTGGGCGGGTATCGATCTCAAAGTGCTTTTACTGAATTCTTTCTGCAAACTTTTCTCCCAGAACATTGAACGAGTGTTTGATAACAATTTTTGGTAAAAAAAATGCACTAGAATTATGGAGCCCGTCCTTTGCTTTGAACATCAATGTGTCTTCTTACAAAATTGATGTTCACAGCTTCTTTCTGAGCTTCAGTCCCAGGCTGCTGCCTTTGTCTTGTGCCAAGAAGCCAGTGCAGCCACCCACCCTCGGCATTCATCTCCATGCAGTAGTAGGTATCTAGAGGGACAGGGGAGACAAAATTCTTTCTGCTGGTGGGTCTTGTTGTTTGCTTTTCCTCTGGGTCAAGGAAAGAAAAAAAAAAAAAAAAAAGTTGCCTTGAACTTGCTGTACCGCAACATTGTGTTAAACACATTAGAACTTTGCTGAGCACTGTAATCAGCCAGGCCAGCCTGTGATGTTGTGTAATTCGACTGAAGTCTGTAACCCTCACATGGTATAATGAGCAATTACTTCCTTGGCGGAAAATTACGTCCTGGTGAAACTGTTCTTTAAAATAACCTAAACAACTCAAACCTCAAAACATGAACTAGATGACCTCTTGAGGCCCCTTCCTGCCGGAACCATTCTGCGTTTCTGTGCTGCTGCTGTTTGTTTGTTTGTACAGTGTTTTGCAGGATGGAATCCTGGTTTTGTGCAGGGCAGAGATGCAGCCTGCCACGCTGGGGAGTGGAGGTGGGGTGAGGCACAGGCACAGGATCCAGCGGTGTGTTACAGCACACACAGCATGTGTTGCTGTCAGACTGCAGTGCTGGATCTTCACTTCCCCCCCGCCTCTCTGTGGCAACGCCAAATCAAATCTGCCCGAGCTCTCCTATCACACTACAGATTACATGAAAATAGGCACTGGCAAACTGCAGAGGATGTTTTTAATTATGTCTAGTGCTTTTTTACAAATACAACAAGTCTCTTTGTGCAATATCTCTTTTATATTCTTTAATATTTTTTTACCTCGAATTGTGTAACAGTGGTAACTGCTATTACCATTTCTTCTCCACAGGCGGAGGAGGAGCTGAGGCACTAATACCTTGAGACCTTCAGTTTTATGCTTTTTTGATTTGCTGAACAGTAGCCCAGTTCTTCAGGACTTCCAGCAGTGTGAAATGTAATCACAGTGCATTTTGGTAGTGGAATGATGACTACTGCAGAAGGTGAATACTAATTGGTTTAGTTTCCTTTCTTATTAGGCTATCTGAAGTTATCCCCCTTGGCCATTAGGTCTGCTTACATCTCATATTTCTCTATACAAGTTTTGTCAAGGTATCAAGATGTTGCAAGGGGTTTGGATATGTAATTCTCATTGTTTCCAGTCATGTAGTAAATAGTGAAAAGGCCTGAAGGGAGGACACAGGTTATTTGATAACAGGGCCTGGTGACAGAAGATTTTTTTTCTTTTATCCTACTGCTTCTACATTTAGAGTTTGATTCTGTGCCATGAATGTCAACTCTGATATTTCTTTGATTAATCACACATTCTCTATCTCTTAAATATTGCTGATTTAAGCAGTGGACTAATGCCCTTTTATTACTCCTCACTAGTTGTCAAGAAGAAGCAAAATTACACTAGTGTGCATGAAGCAGTGAAAGCTGGGGATGTAGAACAGCTTGCATCGATGATACAAAGTGGAGCCAGTATTAATGAGGTGGATGTAGTTCACAAATTTACACCCTTGCAGTGTGCGGCCCACTCAGGAAGTCTGGAGGTAAAACATTACCTTTGTATAGGCATAGCTGGGCTTTGATAAGTCCATGTTTCCTTCTTTGGGAGAGGCTGAACACAACATTGTTTTGATCAGACTGAATCAATAATCTCTGCTTGTTTTTCATATTAAATATATTCACCAAGGGCAGGAGTACAGGGCTTTTGATTTTATTTTTTTTCTTTCTGAAGATCCAGGCAATTTACCTAATCAACTCTACCATATTTTATGAAATCATTTGGTTTCTTACTCTGAGCAAGATATGCCTTATGGCCTTCCTTTCAGACTCATAACCTTCTTTTGTCTCTACTGCATTTTTTTCCTTCCTTTGAGACACCTAGAAAATCCTGTAGGATGTGTAAAATGTTCTGAAGGTGACAGAAACAGGTGAGAAGTGACATGGAAATATGTTCAATATGCTTACCAATGTCCCATGCCTCATTCTCTGCAGAAATAGTCCTAATACACTTTATTTTAATAAATGAGTGTTGAATAGTGGTACAGAAATCAGCAGGTTATTGCATTCATATTTTAAACTTCCAGAAGGACTGAACTGCTGTGTTCTGCACAACATTCTCCTTCTTGCAGCCTCCTTGTTCATTGTTCATGGCAGTCTAAACTTGAAGCAGCAAGGCCATTCATGTCCCAAGAGAAAATACGTGAAGTTCTTGCTAGATTCAAGAATTGCTAAGTGCAGAGCTGCTTCTGGAATGCAGACACACTGTCAAGAAAATGCTAATCATCATGTCAGCCCCAAAACCAGAGTGCTTACCTACCCTTTCTGCCTCTATAAGTTCTGCCATTATCCATTTGACTCTCCTACTTTGCAATCAGTCTTTTAGACTTTATTGAATTACTGTCATCTGTTTGTCACTAAGCTCCTTGGCAGAAATAGTGGAGGAAGCTGTAAGATGGCTTGATAAAAAAGATAATAAATCATAGTAATACATAATAAAAAGTTCTAACTGTTCCTCTAGCTGTCTTTGGATAGTTCATGAAGCTTTCCATTGCAAGCAATGGAAATCTGCAGGAAAAAGATGAATAAAACAAAACTAGGCCATGGAAGGATAAGAAGAGAGATAGGATTATATATGCCTAAGAAGCCTAATAAATTAAATGAGTTCATGATCTTTTTCCTGCCAATAATTTTAGCTGGAATCCATGTGATCATGTTTGAATTCTTTTTTCCAAAGCTTTTACCTCATGCCTCATACCATGGATACTGTCACAGATTACATTTTAAATCTGGAAGAGTAAAATGAAAAAGTCATACTGTAACATTGATGCTAGGATCTGAATTAGTAGGTTATTTGCACATTTTGTACCCTTGGGTGAAACCTGGAAAGTATAACTTACCCTTATCTCCCTCATGCACAAATACATGTTTAAGGCACGATCTGGGGTCTCCTACTTCCATAAGGAAGTATTCCAACACTGTTTTTAAATGTAACTTTGATGGGTAAATTCTAGTTGAAACATGCCCCAGAGACACGATGTGCATAGTTAAATAAAAAGCCCTTTGGTTTTGTTGAGCAGTGCCTTCAGTGGCTGCTCTGGCATGGAGCTGACACCGCCCGTGTGACTGTGAGAGGCTGGACAGCGGCTCACCTGGCAGCCATCCGAGGGCAGGATGCCTGCATGCAGGTACTCGCAAGCAAAAGTTAGTGGGGCAGACCTTAATACTGGACAAATTCATTATGAAGATCAGCTGAGTGAGCCCCTCAGGGAGCTAGCTACGAGTAGCTCATCATGATGTCTTGACACGTCAAATTAAGTAATTTTCAAACCAGAGCACTCATTTGTGCTGTCTGTGCAAACAGATCTGGTTTGTGCAATACTAGACCCCTGAGGTCAGCCCAGAGTTATCCTGCTGGTCATCATAAACCATCCTTCTGGGAAATGTTTGCTTTTTCAGCTTGTGAAATGAACGTGTGCTTTGCATTTCTTCCAGGCCTTGTTACTGAACGGAGCGGACGCGGCAGCTCGGGACGAGCGCGGGTGCACGGCCGCGCACCTGGCAGCAGCGCACGGGCACTCGTACACCCTGCAGAGCCTGCTGCGCGCTGGGGCGGTGAGGCTCCTGCCCGCCGTCCTGCCTTCTCCCGAGCACAGCTCTCCCTCCCTTAGACTGAGATTTAGGGCTCTAGATTAATTACTGTGGGGGAATCTATTCCCTGGGTAAATTTCCGGAGTTTTAGATTGTGATACACATTTAGGGACATGATGAAAAAATGTAGAGAGAATCAATAATGTGAGTAAATCACCTTCTGCTGAGGATGTCATTAAATGATGGTGGTGATGTTAATGTTTTGCAGTTCTAAAAATCTTCTTGAGTAAAGGAGATATAAACTTAAAAAAAGATGCATATCTAAGGAATAATGACCAATGCAAATCATTATGATGATAAAAACATGTCTAAAAATGCACCTTTTCTAAGTGTATTAAGTAAAAGCAAGAACCTGTGAAATGTACCTGTCTTGAAACTGGAACTGCACATAACGCATGAACTTTGAAAAACGTTATTTGGTTTCATTTAAATAATTTAACACAATGAACAGTGGGTTCCCCTATATAAAATTTGTCTTGTGTCTTCGGATTCAGAAGTGAGTGAATTAACCTGCTACTTTCATTTTAGGATGTAAATGTTTCAGACAGGAATAACTGGAAACCTGTTCATTATGCTGCTTTTCATGGTCGCTTGGGATGTTTGCAGCTTCTTGTTCGATGGGGAGCATGTGTAGATGATGTGGATAACAATGGAAACCTTCCAGGTATGTCAGGATAAATCAGATGTTTTTAAACCTTTGGTTTATGGTTGTTTTGAAATGTGATGATTGAGCATATTATAACTAATGCACAGCAGCAGCATTTCCTATGTGATTCCATGCAATCCACACAGATAGCCCATTTTTATAATGATGGGAGGATTTATAAAATCCAAAGTGTTACTCTGTTGGTGATAGTATTCCATTCACTTCCTGCTGCTGCTAGCAAGGATGAGAGCTCACAAATGCTGGGATGGGGAGCAGGTGAGCAGCATCTCCTGTGTGCCAGGGCTCTTCTCACAGGAGAAGGATAGGTGGAGGGTGAGGCAGTTTCAGCTGCTATGTATTACTTTTTGACTTTGATAGTGTGACGAGGTTCTGGTGTGTTTGCATGCAAGTTTTTGTATCCCACTGTTTCTTAATTGATTTTGTAGAACAGTTGTTCTCATTTTCCTGTGATTTCTTCATCTTGATTTCTGGAATACTGTTTTTTCTGGATTATCTGTAATTTCTTTTCATAATTATCAGTGTATTCACTTCAGCATAAAAATGTGATTGTTGCTTGCTTTTTGTTTTTTTTTCCATTATCCCTCTCCCTAACATACCACTGCCTCAATAACCTCTCTAAGCTCAATGGTATTGTTCCTGTCTTGCATTCTCCTTGCATCCTTTTCCTTTTAACATTTTCCTTCTTATGGTTTGTCACATTATTTGTTCCAAAGAGCATGTTTTTCTCTATAACTTGTATAGAGTTAATTTTATAAATCCCTTCTTAAAACATTTTACCCTCTACTACGGACTACTTACCTAGGAAACAGATAGCCATGCTGTGTTTCCAAACTTGGGTCTTGTTAAAGGATGTGAGGCTCCTGCATCCCAGCAGGAGATGTAGCAATAAGGGGTCATGATGTGAGGCACCCTGGGGGCAGCATGGAAGGCAGCTTTATTTGCATTTGGGAACACTTCCCTGATAACAGACTTCTGTGGAGAGAAAGAAGATGCCAGCACAGAGCACTTAATGCTCTGCATAAAATGGTTAGTAGAAAACTGGTTTTGTTGTATTTTGACATCTACAGAAGCTTGATTGTCCAACCTTTGTTCTGTTTCATTTGATCATATTATCTTCCAAAGGAAAGAGGATATTTTGGGACATGGTTAGTAGCAGATTAGTAGAAGTACTGTGCAAACCAACTTGTCTGCTTGTGTAATAGAAGTGAACTTAAATTATCTTTACACACTTCAGCTTCAAGATTAGCTAAACTGTGCAATAATTTTTCCTAAGAGAATACTGAAAGAAATTTTTTGAGGTTGCAGTGCCAGGCACCTGGAACTTGAAAACTGGCTGCATCTTTTGTATATGTGTGTTACAGCAAGGGGTCTAACTATCTTTTCTAATTTCCTTGCTAATATTTTGGAAGGAAAAAAATTCTGTGGCTCATTCAATATACAGAATGGGCTGTGTTTATTAATTGAACATTTCAACTTGCTGTCTCTCTGTATTCATTTTTGGGCCACGTCCTTGCTTCTTTTATTGCTCACACTAGTCAAACCTATTCTAAATATTTTTCACAGACACAGTTTTTTGACTTGTGAATATTGTTAGTCTGATTTTATAAAAGAGAAGATGAAACACAGAAGTTGGGATACCAACAGATTTTAGGTATCTGAAAATGGATTCATAAGGGTTGAGTCAGTTTTTGACTAGCTAACTTACCTCTAGCATGGTACCCTTATTTTCCCTTCTCCCTGAGAACCTAACTCACTGACTAAAATTCAGACAATGGCAAAAACTGCCTTTATTTCAGTGGAGCTCAGATTTTAAACAATCATCTGTACAGGGGTATTGTCATCTTGCTGTAAAACCAATGTCCATGACCTTTTAGAGCAATTATACTCTGCAAAGCTGTGGATGGTTTGGTTTGCTATAGAGAACCTGTGTGTGACAAAAATGAAGTGACATGGTTTTTTGGGGTCCTGAGTACATTTTTTGTTGATTATGAAGACAGTGAGATTCCTACCTGGAGACAAACAAATCCTTTTGCCTCTAAAACATCAGCCAGCTGTTACAGAGCATTTTCATGGAGTGATAGATCATAATAAGCATTTATTTGGCAAGTTCTTCTCATTAATGGGATTAGAAGATATTACTTACGTCAAGTGAGTCAGCTTGTGTTTGGTACTTCTTACTTTGTTGTAGGCCACCACTGTAGTAATATTAAATAAGTAAACCTCTGCATAGCCTTAAGGTCAGGTGAGGAATGTACCGTCAAATATTTTGTCCAGTAAAGCACCTATCACTGTCCTCATTTTATAGGTGGGGTAACTGAGGCTGTGATGCAACTTGTTTGTGGTGGCACAGTAGAGCCTAAAGCAGAAATGGCTTTAGCTCCCAATCAAGGACACTGCTTGCTGTCCCCCCCTACAAGGAATATCCCTGGGACAGCAGGGTCAGCGAGATCCGTGTTCCTGGGGAAGTGAGGCCCCAGCAGAGCACTCTGAGCTAGACCTCAGTGCTCTGTTGGAGTCTGCTTTGTCTCCTGCAGTCAGCTCCACCAGGGAATCATCTTTGCAGATCCCATCATTGGCAGCTTTACCTCCTTTGCCTAGAGCTGAACTCTGTCCTGGGTGGGAGATGAACATGCACAGTTCAGCTGAGGCTGCTCTTCCCCTTGTGCAGTGTTGGATGGCTCATGTGCTGGTAGATGAGCCAGCTCTAACCAGTGGTGAGGGCATTGCTTTCTCAATGGGCAGCAGGGCTCAGCTCTAGCACCCTTTGTTTCATTTGTGCTGTAGCACATCTGGCAGCAGTGGAAGGACACTTGCATTGCTTTAAGTTCTTGGTCGGGAAAATGGCCAGCGTTACACACACTCTGAAAGCCAGGAATGACCATGGAGAGACTCCAAGGGACTTGGCTGAGCGATTCTACAAAGATAATATTCTACAGTATATTGATGGTGTCGAAAAAGAGGAGGAACATCCAGAGACACAGGAAGGTGAGTATGGATGAAGATACACTTAAACAAGGCATTATGTGTAATTCTGTAGAAGTGCACAAAGGTGTACTTGTTATTTCAGGTCTGTGAAATTAGTCTCTTCACTGTATGAGATGCCTGTAGCCATAACTAAGACTTGTTTAGTCAAGAGTCTGGTGAGCACTGCTGGGTACACAGCTGCATTTTAGCTGATAAAGTAGCATTATCCTTGCTACTTCTGAAGCGTTCAAACATAAGTTGCTATGAGAGAGGCGAGCTGTGAGACATGTTCAGTAGAACTGCTGGCATCTGCGTGGAAACATGTGCCTTTCATTTTCAGTTTTAGCTTTCCCAGCTCATGATGCTGCTTTCAATGGAGACTTGTTAGTGGTGAGAAAACTAGTGAGAAGTGGAGTAGTCAATATTAATGAGAGGAACGATAAGGGATCCACACTCCTGCACAAAGGTCAGTAAATATGATCTGTGTTTCAGCTTGGTACTCTTTGTTGCTGATTCATTTACTTTGTTTTTCAAGTGGCTGCTTATCAGATAAATTTAATGACAAACAGCATCTCATTTTTTGAGGTCTTGAAAAGGCAGCCCCAAACCCTGTATTTTGTAATGTATGTGTGCCTGGGTCACTTTGAAAACAATATAACCAAGCTCAAGTCAAGGAAAAAGAGCTTACAATGAAGAGAAATTACCATCTAAACTGAAAACTAAGTAGCTCTGACATTTATTTACTATTGCATATCGATATAATGTCAGGTTTGTTTGAATTAATCCTGATGTTCAGCGATGGAGAAAGAACAGATCAAGCACATGAATTCCAGCTTTGAGTGATAAGCAAGGCTGTATTCTAGCTATAAAAGTTTTTAATTTTCACTTAATTTAATTTAACTAAATAGTTGTGATTTTTTTTTTTTTATCAGGCAAGATGTTGCTTTTAGAAACATCTGTCTGGCTAAGTATAAGAATGGTCTGTACTGTAGCCTGGGCCTTTATTTTTTGAACACATCAGTACTGTGGGGATATGTTGTAAAAACCACAACAAAGTCATTTGGTAAGATGCTATGAAGAAAGGTAAACCTCTGGTTGACACTTTGACATGTAGTGGACTGCTCGCATTATAGAAAAAATAGTTCTTTTGTGTTTGGGGTTTCACAGTATTGTCTGAAAGAAGAAACAAAAGATTAAAGAAAGAGGGAAGCATTATTATAATATGATTTTAACATGTTTCCTACATTTCTTTTTGACTAGATATATAGTAGAATTTAAAAAACATAATTTAAGTTCCTATTAAAATAACTGATAGGTAGCAATTTTAAAATTCCACTTTCTCTTCTTGGAATGATGCTGACCTACAGTTATTTCATCCCCAGTGTTTACATGTTGATGATGTAACTTCATTTCCTTATCTCAGTAAGAAAACAAATATAAAAGATATCCAAAAGGGAGTGCTGCCAAGAAATGGATTTATTCTTCCTTGAGAAAATCAGTGTACAGTTTCATCTATTCTTGCCAAATACCATCTTCCATAAGTGAGACATTGTTCCTGGCACCATGTGGTGGGAGCAGTGGCCATGGAACATCATATGTCTTAGAATGCTGCTGAGAGGTGCTGCCTTGAGTGTCTGCCCCGTCTTCTCTCTCCTGCTTCTCTCTCCTGAGACAGCAGCACACACCATAGGTTGGGGCAGCCAGCTGAGTCTGACACCTGGGAGCCCAAAACCAGGGAGAGGTGACAGCACTTGGCTGCCAAACTGTCTCATGCAGGCCTTTCTTACTAGGGCAGCAGTTATTTGTGTGTCTTGTGATCTGTACATGAGACTGGGCAAGTTTAGTTTGGCTTGTGTTCAGCAAGAGCTGCCAGTGCATTTCTAGTACTAGAAAGAGTCACCAAACCACACTGCATGCTCTTCCCCAAAACTCTGTTGTACCCAAGTGATTGTCAGCATCTCAATACAGGCTCCTCTTGAAATAGGATTTCCCTTGCGGTGTCTTACTGAACCCAATTCTGACATGTCAGATAATGGCAAGAGGAGGACATTTTAGGTTTGAAACACTTCAATTGTATATAATTAACTTGTGTATGCCTTTCTTCCCTTAGCTGCTGAACAGGGGCATATCCATTGCTTACAGTGGTTGGTTGAAATGGGAGCTGACTGTGACATTACAAATGATGCTGGAGAGACTCCAAAGGATGTAGCCAAGAGGTAGCACTACATATCCTGTAGCTCTGACACTTATTTACTTACTATTTGTGTATCAATATCATGTCAGCTTTGTTGGAATTAATCCTGATTTTCAGTGATAGAGAAAAAACAGATCAAGCCCATGAATTCCAGCTCTGAGTGATAAGCAAGACTTTATTGTAGCTATAACCTTGTAACTAAAAAAGCTTTTAATTTTCACTTAATTTAATTTTCTTTTTGGTGAGCTCAGACACAAAACAGGAAAACTAGTTCATTTGCAAGAGAACAGTTTTGAGCCCATGTGCTCACAGTTTGCTGTACAAAGTAAATGAGAAGCAGCAGAGGCCAGCTGATTTTTGCATTAATAAAAACAATACAGATTCTAATGAGATTCAGTTAGGAAACCATGCAAAGGAAAGAGATGCCTGTGATGTAGGAGCCATTGCCATAAGATTCCATCGAGGCAGAGCTCATGCCATAAGAATACTACTAAAAGTAGACAGACAGCTGTAGTGTGTGTACAGTGCTTCCTTTAGTCCTGAAACCCCTCTGATAAATGGGAGCATGGATAGTTTGAGAGTTTCTACCACGTGCTTTTCCAGATTTTAACTGTTGTCTGTGCAGATTTGGCCATCTGGCGGCTGTGGAACTTTTGACACCAAGAACTGGAAACAGTAACTCTAGTGATGAAGAACTAGATGCAAACAACATCAAGTTTTTTGAAACACATGGTGTGGAAGGGAGTACAGATAGCAAAGAAGATTTAACCCTGGATAAGGCAGAGAAAAGGAATGCACGCAGTAAGCACTCTATTTTCATTATTCCTTTTTTGCAAAAGTTATCAAGACATTACAGTCCTAACTAGGACAGTTCCTGCCAACTGCTCTGATCTTTTTGTTATGAGATGGTTGACAGGATATCAAACAAATTGAAATAGAAAGCAAGCAGAAGGCAATCAGATCATAATTGTTAGACCATTTTAATCCATGTTGGTGCAACAGTGTTGGATTGCTATTTGTTTTTGACATCTGCTTGCTCTGTGGGTGTCAGGTGTAACTCAGTGTTTGCTGAGCAGTGTGATTTCTGCTCTTATGTTTGTGAGACTATTTTCCAGCCTATTGGATTTCAGCATGACTCTCTTCTTGCAATTTACCTACCTAGAAAACTCTGTCTTACAGTAAGGGCCTATCACAAGATTAAAGAACTTCAGCGACTTCTAGAAATTGCCTACAGCAACTACAGACAGCTGGGGGGAGTAACTGAAGAGGAGAGGAAGATGAGAAAAGAAGAAAGGAAAGTTGAGAAGTAAGGTCATTCTGCCTTGCTAATGTTTAACTCTGTGGGGCCCATTTTAAATCCTGCTTTAAAGCTGATTTACACTCAAATTTGCATTTGGCCATTCTGTCTTTTCCACTTACCAACTTCAACCAGGCCAATACACATGAATTGCAGCAATTTGTCTGGCCATTTCTAAACTTCTACCACCAGGATCAGCCCCACAACACAAGTGCATGATAGGTCCATGATTCTTGTGCAGGATCATCTGTTCAGTCATCAGGTTTTTCTGCAGATGTGTGCAGTAGATCTGATAGGTTTTGGCTGTTTTGTTTCCTCTAAGGACGCCAAAGTCATGTATGCCCTTCAGGAAATCTGAAAACAGGCAATAGTCTTGGGATGGTTTGGATGGAAGTTTATATGCAGCAGAGATTATTCAGTGACTTGCTAACATTTCTGTTAATTGGCAAAATGTTTCTGTGCTCAAGAAAGGATTAGCTCATATCCAGACCACAGGAAAAAAATATCAGCAAACCTGCCTTTGCATGTGAAGCATTGTTCATAATATGTAATTCTCAATGTCTCTATTAAATAAAATGGTTCTGATAGGTTGGTCAGGTGATTTGATGGACAGACTGTCTACATTTCAAAGAAAAGGCTATCAAAGATTTAGAGATTTAACAATACTGCAGCCTCCAAAGACAGGCCTCTCTCCACCTTGGCCTGTCAAAGACTTGGCTACCCTCTGTTCTCAGTCTCTTTAGATAACCACCTCCATCATGTGTTTGGGCCAACCCAAACCACTGTCTGTATTTGGTCACTGAGGGGAGACTGTCACTGTCTGCGCAGGCTTATATGCCATCAAGAAGACAGCAGACTTAGGAGTCTGTGGATCTGGAGCAGGTAATATGTTTCACAGATTGCAGTTAAGTACTTTGTTTTACAGCCTTATCTGAGCCAGGAAACTGAGGTCAGAATTTCATCTGGTTCCAGGTCACTCTGACTCAGCTCATGCTGAAAGTCCATCTTGCTTAACTTGATATGTATACAGTAGGTAACAGACACCTCTGTCCAAGTTAGTTATCATAAGCTCCTTTTTCAACTTCTTGGAGAGGTGTAGGCACTTCCAGGGCATAATTAGACATGTACTTCAGGTTGAGATTCATCACTTCTAGAAGTGTCTCTCCTGGTTTTAGAGGAGGGTGACCAGCTTAGGTGTTGTTGCCCACATTGAAAGGTTTTAATGATGGAAAAGTCACTGTTGACTACTGACAGACAGGAAGGTTCATTTTGGATAGAGCAGCTGCTTGAAAACTAGCAATGCTCAAAAACTAGCTGCTCAAAACTAGCAATTAGAAGGCTCTGCTGGGGCTCTCTAAGGGGTGTTGCTTTCTGTGGCATGTTCAGGTGGCTAAACTTGAAAAATTGTGTGGTTCTCTGAAGGGTTTCTCCTACATGTGAAGGCTAGAAAGCATCCCTAGCCCCAAACTCTTCTTTTGAAAAGAAACGGGGCTTCTCAGAAAACCTGCCTACCCTTCTCAGGGTACCTATGTAGATAAATCCCAAGGTGCTTGTATCATAGGCCAGAAAAACACATTATTGATAAAATACTTAATGACAACACCATTTTGCTAGATGAAAAGCAGGAGTTGCTACTTGGGAAGGCCGTTGTAGCAGATTTTGAAGATTTCTGCTTTAGTCCAGGATTTTTGGCTGTAAGAGACCTGGTGTGAGTCACTTCACAGTGCTTTAACCAGGGCTCGTTGCAGGAAATTGTCACCATGGGTGTGCCACACGGTTTGGGAGCTGTGCCTCTTTAACTGGAAGCATGGAAGAAGTCAGCTGTCTCCTCAGCACAGGCCATTCTTGCAGTGTCAGTAAGGCTGATTGGTAGCTCAAAGGGTCCGACTCTGGGAAACATGGTAGGTCTTGCTGAGAGCTTTCCTCCTGTGTTGTCTGAATGCAGAGGGCAGGTATCTCCCCTTTGCTTTTGCTGATCTTCCATCCTCGCAGGTGTGATAATTCATCCTGATACATGAGAGAGCCACCGCAACTCCAGAGACTCAGTTTATGTATGAATTACGTGTGAGCTAAACAGCTCCAGGAATCTCAAATAATTTAGGAGCTGTTGAGGGTGTGACCAGGGAGATCTCGTGCAACTGTGTATAAGACAGTCATGCAAGCTGTCATCTGAGTATGCCTCATCCGTGCTAAGCCAATCAATAGGAAGGATGTAGAAGCACCAGATGGGAATGAGAGGGCTGCCGCTGACCTTTCCCGAACGCTGTCGGCTTCGTGCTGTTTCAGTTTGACAATAACTTCGGCGCTGCCGGGGCGCCTCTCCCGCCGCGCCGCTGGAGCCCGGCGCGGTCGCAGGAGCGCGGCGCGGGCTCGGTGTGCGGGCGGGCGGCTCCATCTCGTGGTCCCGCCGCGCTGAGCACCGCTGGCGGCCCGGGAAGGAAAGCTGCTGCTCAGCGCTGTCACCAAGGCTCCGGAGCCTGAGCACAGCTGGCCTGAGGCGTGCCGCGCTGCTTTCTGCGTGACTGACCTGCTCCCTGGCAAAGGCACTGCGCCACGTGGAGCAGCCGGGGCAGGTTTGGATGTGCTTCATGCTCTGCTTTCTCCTTTGCTGTTGGCAGGGCTGTGAGGGAGCTGGAGGCGCAGCTGGAATATGAGCGAGTCAGGCGGGAGAAGCTCGAGAGCCAGCTGGATGATTACCGTGCTGAGATAAGACAGCTCCGAGAGGGCCGGGGGAAAACACCCCCCACCTCTGCTGCCTCCGCGGTGAGTGCCACGCTGCCTGCTGCTTGTGCGTGTTTGTTCCCTCTACTAGAGGGCACAGTGCTAGGAAATACTAGAGAAAATGTGCTACAGCTTTCAGCTTGGGACGCTGAAGTGAGCAGGAGCCCTGCCTGGCCTGGACACTGTCTCTGCTGTGAAAGGGTATCGGTTTCTTTCTGTACCCTGGCAGAGAAGCACTGCTGTTCTTCATCTTAATGTTCACCTAAGTAGTGGGCTGATCCTGAGTACTTCCATACTGCATATCCAGTGACTGGCAGTTCCCCTTGGCTGAGACCTGGTGTCTGGGACTGGAATGGTGCTTCTGGAGAGGTGCTGTCACCACCTAAAGGGCTACCCAGCCTGCACGGGTGTAGAGATCGCTACCAAGGGCCCCCAGAGAGGGACAAATTCAACAGGGACTTGATCCATGCTACAGTGTCTGAAGTCAGTCAGACATACTGAATGAGAGCCCAAGATCTCATAGAAAATTCATGCAGAGAATTCAGCCTGTTTGGGAAAGGAACAGTACGTGCAGCACTAGAAGTTCTCAGACAGGGGCTCTATTTTGAATTAAAAGTTAAGCTTTTTATATGATAGAGACATAAGAGGGAAGAGGACACCAACACTGCAAGCAGCTAATAGATGATAATATTTCTAATTTTTTACTTTTCACCTGTACAGGCAATAGATGATGGTGCTTCTATTCTTTCAGAGCATTTTTTATTTCCCAGACTATTTTCCACCTTTTTAGTCAATTGCCTCTGCAGTCCCTAGTTTTTGTGCTTCTTGGTGGAATCTCAGGCTCTGATGCTAGGTGCCACAGCTGTATTTCAGAGAGACCAGCTTCACGTTTTCAAGGATGTTTCTGCTTCTCAGCCTTGTGATTGCCAGGCTGGCAAACATTTTCTCTGTCAATATTTTCCATTAGGCAGGGTGGCTTTTTTTTTTTTTTTTTTTTTTTTTTTTTTTTTTTTTTTTTTTTTTTTTTTTTTTTTTTTTTTTTGTGGTTTTCCCCGTCTAACCAAGCAGTCTTTCTGGCTGAGTGACTGCTACAGCCAAGGGACCTTCAAGTCTCACACTACTGTGCTGCCATCCCATGCCCCGGGACTATGCTCTGCCCTCAGTTTCAACCACAGTATTCTGTGGTTACTCCCAGATGTAGATTTTCACATCCTTTCAGTGGTTACTGTTTAAGGCTGCGGTGTTGCTTGTTTCAGGAAGCTGAGACAATGGCCAAGTCTTGCAAAGACGAAAATAAAGAAGCAGTCAGCGTGCAGCCCAGGAGGAGTGCAACTACACTGAGGAACAAAACTCAAAGGAGGGGCAGCAGACTGGAGGTACAAAAGCAATATTCCAGATAATGCGAAGTGTTTGCATAGCCCAGCTCCACCAATGAGCTGTGGGTCTCTACCTTTCACTGAGCTGTTTGTAGTTCTCTAGTTCTCTGGCCTAACAACATGAAAGTCACAGACCCTCATAATTCTGAGGAAAGTATCTCCATTCACTGGTCTATTTTGTACTGCCACCTCAGGATGGAAAAAGTGCACATTACCTCCTAGCATATTCGGTGTGGAAGCTGAATAGTGGATAATAGAATTACTTCTCAGCTGCAGAGAGGTGCCAGGCCCCTTGATTTTCATCTTTAGTCATTCCTAAAGAATGCAGGAAGCAACTCCTTTGTGAGGTGCCAGATGACCTGCAGCTGTCAAGTCTCCGAATCTAACACGACTGAAGGGTTTACTAAGTTATGGGGCAGCTTGTGGTTAAGAAATGGCAACCCTGACCTCTCCTCCACACGTAAAAACCATTTAATGACTACACATATAAAAGCTTTTCTATCAGCTGTGTGTTATTGTGAAATTGTTTTCCTTCTGGAACCCTAATTTTGAGACTTACAAGATAATTATTTTAGTGTGTTGGTCCTGATCTGTCCTCTCCTTAGTACCAAAGAAAACCTAATCGCTGAGAATTTCGAAGATACTGAAAAATAAAAATCCATGGTTTTGTGTGCACCATGAAGGAGAGGCATGCTATCTTAACATCATATGCCTTACATCAAGAGTCTAGGTCAGGGTGTGTGAAATGATGGCTGTGACAAGCTGCACCAGATGAGCTATTTCCTGCATCACCATTGGCATGGCCTCACCTCCTGCTGGGGGCAGTTCTGGGTACTACAATATAAAAAAGAGATTAAACTGCTAGAGTGTCCAAAGGAGGGCCGTGAGGATGGTGAAGGGCATTGAGGGGAAGCTGTGTGAGGAGCAGCTGAGGCCTCTTGGGTTGTTCACCTTGGAGGAGACTGAGGGAAAACAGAATTGGAGTCTATAACTTCCTCATCAGGGGAAGAGGAGGGTCAGGCACTGATCTCTTCTTTGTGGTGATCAGAGACAGGGTCAAGGGAATGGCCTGAGGTTGTGTCAGGAGAGGCTTATGTTGGATATTAGACAAAGTTTCTTCCCCCCGAGGGTGGTTGGGCACTGGAACAGCTCCCTAGGGAAGTGGTCACAGCACCAAGCCTGACAGAGCTCAAGAAGCACCTAGACAATGCTCTCAGGCACCTGGTGTGACATTTGGGGTGTCCTGTGCAGGGCCAGGAGCTGGACTTCAGTGATGCTAGTGTGTACCTTCCAACTCAGGACATTCTATAATTCTGTGAATATTTTATGTTAGTTATATTGCTAAATGGGAATGCAAATAGGGACCAGAATAGACAAATAATTTTAAAAATACACAGAAGCCAGAAATACTAAAACTGGAATGGAATCACAAACTTTTAAGTAAAGATTGCATACTGGAAGAAATATTTTACTATCAACAGCAAGCTCTGAGAACCTTAGGAGAATGTGTTGTTAATAAGACAATTGGGAGAAAAAAGGACACATATGGCAGCTAAGGGATAAGTACAGTATGCAATTATAGCAAAGATACCGAACAACACTTAAGACACTGGAACAAATTGCTAGCAACCTTGTAAGCAGCTAGAGAATTAGAAACTGAGAAACCCATATTAGCTGCTTCAGATGAGGAGCAAGTTGTGTTTAGCAGTGTAATATTTTTTTTCATCATAAACAGACTTGAAAAATTACTTATTTCACTGTATTAAGGTTTTTAACAATCTCACATAACACATGCTTTAAAAAAATGGTGGTGATTTGCTGTAATGAAATAACTGTAAAATATGTGTGCAAAGAGAAATGTGAGCTTATTTCAAAGAGAAGATGTCAAAAGTTTTCTATTAAACTAAAAGAAAACTACAATGAAGTTCTGCATAGGTCTGTTCCAGAACCTGATATAATTAGAGTGCTGACTAATTGACTGGAGAGTGTGGAGAGTTAGATGAAAAATAGGTTTCAAAACAATATAGAAAATACTATATTGGGAGGAATTACAAACATTGTGAAGAACAACATTTGCATTTAAAATCATCTAAGTATACAGAAACCAGTTTCCAAACCAATAAGACAAAGTTCAAAGACATATGAGTCACAATTAAGAAAGAAAAATCAAAAATAATCAAATGCAGCAGTGTCTAATGAAGAGCAGTTTGAATAAAGAGCAAACCAGCAAGAAAAGAGGAAAAGCTGCAGATTATCATGGACTGCAAAGTAGATGTAAGTAAACAACAGGTTACTATTATTTTCCTTGTCCTTCTTCATACCCAAGAGCAATTTAAATTCCTTGTCTTCCAATTGATACTACAATGTCTATATTAGAAAATATGTTCACTCATCTTTGCTCCCTCTGTTGAAAGAGTGAGGAAGGCCAGGGATAAATTTACATCTGTGCCACTTGCTTCTAAGAACAGTACTGAAACTGTATATTGAGTATAATCCAGTCTCCAAGTGTGTTGGGCCTGTCAGTTCTGGGATTTTGCAAGAGTTATTCAAAGATAAGAGGTTTTGATCAATAAATACAGTGATAGGATGTGCAGGAAACTGCAAGGTACACACAAGTGAGAAGCTATTTTGAATGACAGCTTCCAGGACAGGAGCTCTGTTGTCTTCCAGGGTGAGAGTAAGCACTCAGCTCTCACCTCTCTTTCTTAGTATTGGCTAGTTTCGAAGATTCATTTGTCTTTCATAAACAACCTAGTAAAATGTGAAAAAGCCAACTCTCCCTTCACTTCAGTTTAAGAAGTCTTAATCATGAGTCTGTACATTATTTTATTTTTCCTGAAACTACCAGCAGAAGCTTATGTTTCTGAAGATTTTCCTGGCAAATTTTCCAGTATGAGTAACTCACATGATCTTTAAATAAGTCTATGTGTAGTGTGTTTTTTAATTTAGTATTTGTTTAGTGTCTGTTCACCCCCCTATCCGTAATCTCCTCCTTTCCCCAATTGTCAATCTTCCCTTACCCCCTCCTCTCCAGGTTGTCAATCCTCCCTTTCCCTACCCCTTTCCCCAGAACATTCCCTGTCATTCCTCCTATTCCCCTCCCCTGTTTCCAGAGCATTCCCTGTCCATTTAGTGAGGCTCAACACCCTATTGCTTACTTTGTGTTACTCCACTCCCATGTTTCCCCTGATAGGTTTGTGATGTGTTAGTCCCTCCTTAGACTCCTCCCCAGCCCTACCCTCATTGGTTGTTGTTCCTACTCCCCTCCTCCTGAGTTCCTGTATAAAACCTTTGTTCGCCCTCCCCAGAGGGTTTTGGGGCTCACTGAATAAAACTATCCTGTTTGTCCCCAAGTCTCGTGTCGCCTCCCTCTGTCCCCACGCCAACAACTGGGACTGCAGAGCTTCACAGGGGGAGCGGCCGCCCGTTCTCTTCCCTTGCCGCCCAGCACGGCACCGCTCGGGGTATCACGGCGAGGGGAGCTGACCCTGACATCTATGTGCAATAAATACACTTATGATTGAAGGAGAAATTAAAAAACTAAAAACTAAAACATAAAAGGGCTAAGAGAATCTGTGGAAACAGAGTGGACTGATGTAATTAATGCCAGAAAATGTTCTTCTAATGAGCATGTAAGGACCAGTTTATGAGTTAATTCAATCTAGGCTCCTAGTTCTATGGGAACTTATATGTCAGTTTTCTTATGGTTTTCACTTATGTAAGTTGCTTTGTTTTCAGGGAAAAAGCTCTTGAAGTGGATCCATTGATACTACTTAGGTGAACTGCTGAAATCAATATTCCTGTTCTCTCTCAAGGTTGCTGCGAGTGTCATACCCGGGAATTTTTTGGCAAGTACTGTGGCACAAAAATCCATGCATTCTGACCAGAACACTGATTGTGTTACAATTCTCTGACCCAGTAAAGGGTCATAGAAAACCACAACTATTGGCTTTTATAAATGAAATGTGAGCAGAAGCCTGGAGTTGTTTTCATGAATATTCAAAGACACAAACAGAAAGAAATAAATTATTTCCATTACCAGTCCTTATTTTAAAACCTTTTGGTTGTGTTATACTTTGGGGTTTTTACCTAATTTTTGTGAATGAAGTGGATCTAATATTTAAATATGTATTTTTTTGGGTGATAAGAATTCACCTCATTCCATCAAGATAAAAGAGCCCTTAACTTCATGAGAGCAACTGAGGGGGATACCAGCACAGTCATCTTCTGGCCCAGGGTGAATTTGTGCGCTTCCTGGATGTTCACTGCCCCTGCTGCAACGGCTCTGAGACACCCTGGCCATCCTTTACGTGCTGTGTCCAACTGTTTGGAGAGATAAGCCACTGCTTTCCGGTAGGGGCCTAAGTTCTGCGCTAATATTCCCAAGATGATCCCTTATTTTTCATAGGAAAACAGGAAAAATGGTTTACTCATGTCTGGAAGTCCTAAAGTGGAGCTGACATGAGGGCCTTCTTTAGTTGGTTGAAGGCTTGGGTTGCTTCTTTTGTCCACTGGAGATCTCTGCTCCCTTCCGTGATCAGGGCATATAGAGGCTTAACAAGTAACCCACAGTTATAAACCCCTAGCCTGCACCACCCTGTCATGCTTAAAAAGGTTCTCAGTTCTTTCCCTGCCTGAGGTCTCAGGGTCTTTGCGATCCTGGCCCAAGGTCCTTTGTCCAGCACTCACTTCATAACCCAGGTAAATGACTGTTTGCCTCACCATCTGGGCTGTCTTCTGGGATACTCAATACCCCTGCAGGCCCAAAAAGTTTAGGAGGCTTACTGTCCTGTCTACACGTTTCCTGGGTCTGGGTGGCTATCAGGAGATCATCCACCTACTGGAGCAACTGTCCTTCTCCTGGTGGAGGTTCCCAAGATTCTAAATCTCTGGCAAGATGCTCCCCAAATATAGTGGGGGAGTTCTTGTATCCCTATGGTAATACACAATATGTGAGCTGGTTCCTCCGTCCAGTTTTGGGGTTCTCCCATTCAAATGCAAAATTTTTCTGGCTGGCTTCATGGAGAGGGAGGTAAAAG